ACTGTGAGTGACAGCAGGACTTGATGGCTGGATCTGGGATTCATTTGCAAAGAAACCATGTTGAGATCACAGACTTGGGTGAGGTCACAGGACTAACTCCAGAGAGGAGGCTGCCCAGGGCCTCTGCAGTCTGGAAGAGGAGCGTCAGCTGGCGGGAGAACCCTCGAAGGATGGCCATCAGATAGCAGCAAGGGCACGGCACCTAGAAGAGCAGTGCATGCGCTGAGCTTCGGGGTGGGAAAGCCCCAGCCCCAGAGAAGCTGAATGGGAGACTCGTGTCCCACAGAGAAGGAAGAGTAGGGAAATCTGTCTCGCAGATGGATGTGGTAGGGAGAGCCACATCTGCAGAGAAGGTGGGACAGGGGGTTACATACATCCCAAGGAAAGGCCGCAGGAGCCTTGTCACACACAGGTGCAGGCGCCACAGCCCACAGGTGGAGCCGGAGAGTGATTATTTACCATTACCAAATACGGCCTTCGCAATAGTGGCAGCTGTACTTGGAGGACCAAGGCTGGCAAGTACTGGAATGAGTGAGGACCAAGTCTGACCAGAGAAGCCAAGGGAGGAGGGGGAGGGGGAGGCCTGACACACAGGCAGCTCCCTGGGGTGGTGCTGGTTCAGTTTCAGCGTACGTCTGCTTTGAAGGTGGACTTGCTTGGACGTGGCGGTGTCACTCTGGTGTACTCCTGTTTCTGTAGACAACCCTCCTCACTGAATGTGGCAAACATTCAGGCCCAGGAAAACCCTTGGAAGGCTCCTGTCCCTTGCCCATCCCAACCAAGCCCTTGCCAGACTCACTGTGACTAGCTCTTTGGGAGCTGGAGTCAAGAGGTGATGGAGACCTTGTCTAGAAATTTGGGTTCTCTACCTGGCCCACTTTCACCTCCTGACGTATGTTTGGATAGTGCGGTCCCAGGACTGTGTCAGGACAGTGTGCTCTTCCCTGCCCAGGTGAAGCCTTCAATAGCACACAGGAATGTGTGTGTATGTTGTGAGTGTGATATGTTGCTGTATATTGTGCATTTGTAGTGTCTCTGTAGTACAAGTGTGGTGTGTAGTACATGTGCTGCTGCATGGTGTACATTGTTTGTGATCTCTGTGATGTGTATTTGTGGTGTGTGTGTATGCGTTGCTGTGTGGTGTGAATCTGCATTGTGCAGGCTGAGGGGAGGTCAGTGCAGATAGAAGCTGTTGGCTCAATGCATCTCTGTCAGGGTGACTTAGGGCTTGGTCTGCTAAGCCCTCCCTGGGTGTGGGTGGCTTGCCCAACCTTTATTCCAAGACGGGTAGTGGGAGATGGGTGTGGCTGAAACCCTCATTCTGGCTGGTACTGTTTTATGTCTTGGTGACCGTACCCCCTGTGAATACCATAGGAGGAACCAGGAAGATGTTCACCACTTTCATCTTTCCTGCATCCTGTGAGTTAAGACCAGAAAGACAAAAACCACAGAACTGACTGACTTCTTTGCTGTGAACCCCAGGCAGCATTGTAAATATGTATGGGCTGGAAAGGTGGCTCAGTGGTAGAGCGCTTGCCTTGCATGCATGAGGCCCTGGGTTCGATTCCTCAGCAACATATATGCAGAAAAAGCTGGAAGTGGCACTGTGGCTCAAGTGGTAGAGTGCTAGCCTTGAGCTAAAGAGCTGAGGGACAGCGCCCAGGCCCAGAGTTCAGGCCCCACAACCCACAAAAAAAAAATTGTATTGGTTATTGCTCAAGGGTTATAAATAACACCCCCCCCCCATACACACACACCTTGGCTGCTTTGAAAGACATTTTCCCCCTGGGGAAAGTTGAAGGGAGAAAGTAAACTGCTTTTGCCAAATGTTCCAAATACACAACTTCCATCTTCATGGTAGTTACATGATGCAGGTTTTGTTATCTTTTGTGAATGAGGCCTCTGAAGCCTAGTGAAGCAAATATTGTTGACCACAAGTACTTAAGACTCCACAGCCAAATTGGAGGACCCAAAGAAGGGGCAGTTCCTGTGTGCCACACAGCTGCTGTCTCCAGCCGGGGGTCTCGGATCTCACTGTGAAGGCATCTCTTGTGGAGCTCACCAAGTACCCAGACTCTGCCTGAGGGGTGAGGACCTTTTAGTGGGCAGCTAGACACAGGAGAGCCTGCTTATTATTCACTAGCTATGTGGCCTGGTACTAAGCTCTGTTGTCTATAATGGGAGCTGACTTTAGATGTACTTTGTGGACGGGTGGACACAAAACACCCTGGAAGAGAGTTCCAGAAACATAGTTACCATTCAACATAGGTCCTGGTTTAGACAATTCTATCACCATCATCAAGCCTTTCCATTCCATTGTCTGACGCTGACATTGAAAAGGGTTCCCCCTGCCTGCATCTTATTCATTCGTTACTTCTACTTCTTCAGCTGCTCGTGACTTTCTATGTCTTTCATATGAGACAGCTTAAAAATATTTGTTTTTGATTTATAATCATTTAATTGACACATCATTCAATTGACATTAAAATAACACCTGGTCATTGAGGAAAGACAGGTAAAAGGCTAAAAAATTAAAGAAGAAGTTTTAGGAAAAACAAATACAACATTTCTGGAAGTCCTGTGACAGAAATGGCCAAATTGAACACATTAATGTACTTCTACCTACCTGTATGTATTTTTTCCTGTGGCAAGCATGTACACACACACACACACACACACACACACACAGATTTCCTCAGACCCTCTTGTGAAGCCCAGACTTTTTAATGTCTCCTGATTCATGCTGCTAAGTTGTCCTCCATGTCAACTCCAGCTGTGGGGTGAGATAATACCCCTTGGTCACCCTGTAGAACTCTGAAGGTAATGGTCAGGGTTTCTGTTCTTTGTTTCAAAGTGCAATTAAAAACCTTGGAGTATATTAGCAACAGAATGAGCCCCTTCATGTCTCATATGTGCTCTCTCCCTCTTATGTGCCAGGACCTGCCTTTCTTTTATACCAGGAGACTTTCTTTTATTCCCCTCTTGTTTGCTCTAGCAACAATTCTGCCCTTCACTTGTGGGACTTAAGCTTTATCATCTATTTCAAAATACAAATATATGTTTCTTATTATAAATAGGCAGATGATAAGGTTGTTGATTCATTGCTATTTATAATGACTAGCTGTCACAAATTCAGAACAGTAATTGCTGAACAGGATAGAAATAGTCTCAGAAAGGGAATATTTTTTCTTTTTCTTTTCTTTTTTTTTGGGGGGGGTCCGGTCCTGGGGCCTGAACACTGGGCACGGGGCCTGAACACTGGGCACTGGGCCTGGGCGCTGTCCCTCAGCTCTTCAGCTCAAGGCTAGCACTCTACTACTTGAGCCACAGCACCACTTCTGGCTTTTTTCTTTCTGCTTATGGGGTGCTGAGGAATTGAACCCAGGGCCTCATGCATGCAAGGCAAGCGCTCTACCACTGAGCCACCTTCCCAGCCACGAATATTTTTTCTTTGAGAACTTTTCAGTGTGTACTGGTTAAGAAATGAAATGTAAAATTCTTCTTCAACAGTACTTTTGGGAGGAATAATTCTGGTTGAACTTTGCATGTGTGTCCCTGGATGTAGCTGTGGAACAGATATCATGTTGTCCTAGTTTCTGCAGGAAGGAAACAACTGTCGCCCATACCAGCATGTGCTGCCAGCATTGTTCAGCAGCACTACTCCCATTGGTATCTTGAATCATCTTATTGTGATAAATTTTTATAGACTTTGACTCCCAATAAGAACTGAGCTAAGGAAAACAAACATTGTGGAAGCTATCCCCAAGAACAACAAACAAAATCAGAGACGCTCTTTGAGGTAGGCATCTTGCCATGAATGGTTTGAGAGTTCAGGAATGCTCCAGAAACTGGCTTTGAGATCAGAGGTGCTTAATATGGTCTTAAAGAGCTTCCAGGGGCTGGGAAGGTGGTTCAGTGGTAGAGCACTTGCCTCGCATGCCTGAGGCCCTGGGTTCTATTCCTCAGCACCACATAAGCAGAAAAAAAAAGCCGCAAGTGGCACTGTGGCTCAAGTGGTAGAGTGCTCGCCTTGAGCTGAAGAGCTGAGGGACAGCGCCCAGGCCCAGAGTTCAGGCTCCACAACCAACCAAAAAAAAAGAGCTTCCAGAGGTGTCTGGCTTATAAGCAATAATAATAAACAATATAGGAGGCAGTGGCTCTTGCTCCTAATACTAGCTGTTCAGGAGGCTGATATCTTTAGCAGACAAATGCTAGAGATTCTTAGCTTGCATTAACCAGCAAAAAGCAGGAACTACACATATAGCTCAAGTGGTAAAACACCATCTGTAAGCAGAAAAGCAAAGGGAGAAGCCTTGAGTTAAAGCCCTAATACTGATGTGTGAACCATGATATGAACCATGGTACATGGCTCTGTCTGCCTTTCTTGTTTAATATCGGAGAGGCCTGGTTCGGGACTGCTGGGTACCCAGCCTGGTGTAGTCACAGGTTCACATACACCCTGACTAGTCCGGTGCTTTCAAGGCCCCCAGTTCTGCTCTCCTCATTGTGCGTGAAGGAGCCACACAGAGTTCTGCCTTTCAGAGGTCTACACTAAGGTAGGAACCAGCCTTTCTGCCTGAATATGAAAACCGAGGCAAGGGCGGAACAGCTGTAGGCACTACCACAAGGTGCTGACGCGTAGGTACCGGTGGCTGACCCTCAGGTGCCGCTGACCCTCCCAGGTTCTCAGACAGCCAAATTCTTGGACCTCCCACCTGCCTGCAGGTGACCAGGAGCCGGTTACAGAAGCTGTGAAACTACAGTGATTCTTTTTAACACTGGTTTGAGCACTGAGTTTGGGAGTACTGTCCCGAGGCCTCATTTTCCAGAGAAGGGGTCCAGGGTAGGATGATAAACTCACCAGACAATGTGTGTAGCGATCGGCCAGGCAGACCCTTGGGCACCCCACCTTGGCCAGGACACTGGGGCCACACAACAGCTGCCTTTGTTATTGGATTTTTCTGGCATTGACAAAACCATGTGTCTTTGCTGCATTCCAGAAATGGCCTCAGACATACCTGGATCGGTGACCTTGCCTGTTGCCTCCATGGCGGCCACTGGACAGGTGAGGATGGCAGGGGCCATGCCTGCTCGCGGAGGAAAGCGGCGTTCCGGGTAAGCATCCTCAGGGTCTCCAGGAACCGGAGTCCAGAAAATGTTGAGCAATGCTCTTGACCTATAAGAAAGTATTGTGTTCCCCCACCTCCCAGAGTAAAAGCTCAAAAGTTTGCATCCTGTTTAGATTTTGCAAGATTCCTAAATATGAGCATGTGTTGCTTCGCTCTGCCATCTAGCTGGGAATCCCGGTGGGAGTGTGCAGGCAGACCAGCTCTCGGGGGGAAGAGGTCATTCATAACCTGCCTGAGTGTTTGGCAGCTGAGCTCCAGCCACGTGATTGCAAAGGATCTACCCTGGGGCCCTCTCCCTTTCCTCTTTCCTAGATAGAAATGCAAGCTGCATTGCACTTATAAATGAACATGTTAAGCCTGGGTGCTGGTGGCTCACGCCTGTATTCCTTGCTACTCAATAAACCACCAGGAAACCCGGAGTGGAGCTGTTGCTCAAATGATAGAGAACCAACCTTGAGTAAAAAAGACAGTGCCAATGGCCCTAAGTTCAAGCCACAGGATAGTCATGCGCACACACCCACACACAGATAACATGCTGAATTGAAACCACTTTGTACTGCTACTTAAAGATAATCAAAAAATATCCTGGCTAGGCAGGTTGAAATGAAAACATTAAAAAAAAGTTCAAGCTGGGTGCCGGTGGCTCATGCCTGTAATCTTAGCTACTCAGAAGGCTGAGATCTGAGGATCGAGGTTCAAAGCCAGCCAGGGCAGGAAAGACCATGAGACTCCTATCTCCAATAAAACCACTATAAAACCGGAAGTGGCACTGTGGCTCAGGAGGTAGAGTGCTCGCCTTGAGCTGAAGAGTGCAGGAACAGCGCCCAGGCCCACAGTTCAAGCCCCACGACTGACCAAAAATAAAAAAATAAATTCAAGTGTAGGCCTAGGACCTTAAAGCCAGCCAGCTTACATTAGATGCTGCTCAGTTAATAAAATTGATAACAATAATGAGTGCTACTGATTGTAATGGTTTTGATAAGGCCACTGTCACTGTTGAAACAAAAACTGCATATATTCATTGTTAATTTTTGCCTCTATATACAGAATGTAAACCCAAACCAAACAAGAAAAGTCCTGGGCTGGGAAGGTGGCTCAGTGGTAGAGCGCTTGCCTTGCATGCTCAAGGCCCTGGGTTCGATTCCTCAGCACCACATAAGAAAAAAGCCGAAAGTGGCGCTGTGGCTCAAGTGGTAGAGCGCTAGCCTTGAGCTGAAGAGCTGAGGGGCAGCGCCCAGGCCCAGAGTTCAGGCCCCACGACCGGAACCCCCCCCCCAAAAAAAGAAAAGAAAAGTCCTATAGGAAAAAAACATAACTGACATTTTTAGACTCATTATATCATTCAACCCCTTTCCCTCACTGAACCCATTTTATTGTCAACGAAATACTTGATAAGCAAGACTCGTGAAGTCAAATCAGTTTGTTCTTTCAGTGCAATTTTTGATCAACTCATAACTCTTGGGACACAACTGTCCAGTTATATAGCAGAACACATTTTTTGCAATTTAAGACTTAGGGGCTATGTCTATTTTTAAATGGTCAATGATTTTTAGCCAGGAAATTTCTCTACATCAAGGAGACACACCCACTCTCCCTCTTTCCCTCTTTCCCTCTTTCCCTCTTTCCCTCCCTCCCTCCCTCCCTCCTTTCTTCCTTCCTTCCTTCCTTCCTTCCTTCCTTCCTTCCTTCCTTCCTTCCTTCCCTCCCTCTCCCTCCCTCTCCCTCTCCCTCTCCTTCTCCCTCTCCCCCTCCCTCTCCCTCTCCCTCTCCCTCTCCCTCTCCCTCTCCCTCTCTGCTCTCTCCCTCTCTGTGACAATACAAGAGAAAAAAGGGGTGGGCAGCAACCTGTCACCCTACCAAATGTGAGGGTGAAATATGGTCCCTGAAGGCAGAACAATAGGTGAGCTTTCCTGAGAAAGCCTGTCTTCATTCCTGGGTCTATGTGTCTGCTCCCATCTCCCTGTCAAAGTGAGCAAACCAAGATCCTATTTGCTAAGCCTCTGTGACTTAGGGTACTTTAGTACATTGCTATATCTAGGTCAATATTTTCTACACATACTGGTGACAATTTCTTATTACTAAAACATTTTAAATAACATTTTGTCTACCATGGAAAGATAATAAAAAAATAAAGAATCATCAATACCAACCATGAAAGAAAGTCCAGAGTGAGGGGCAGTTTGTAAACAAATGACAAAAACTCTATGGACAAAAATAAAAACTAATACAAAGCAAAAAACAAAAACATTTTGTCTGTAACTGTTAGAAGGCAACAGGAACTAAAATTATTATAAGAAATATAATTTTGCTAATCACTAAAATAGCTCCTTTGCTATTCTAATGTTTTTAGTCTTGAACTATTTTATTTATAACCTCATATCTGATTCAGAATTATTCTTTTTTTCAAGTTAGACCTTAAGCTTTAATAAAACTTTCTCTTTTGTTTTTGCTGTACTTAACTGTAAATGAAATATTTCTTCAGGTTCCTGAAGAAATATGTATTTAACAAAAAGAATCTTTTTGCAGAGCTGTGGCCATGGTAACACATCTGACACTTACATGGTTGAAATTGTAATGGAAGCCACCACCACTTCAGAATCTCTTGATGACAGCTCTCAATGGCTGCCTAAACACTTAGCCCAGGGTCAAGGAGAGCCTGGTGGAGTCACGGTAGTCAAAAAGCAGATAACCCTAACTATGGCCCTATGCAGTGGCCTAGACTGACCACTGCCTTCCCTGTCATTGACAAGATGCGGTCCAGTGCTTCATGTCTGAGATGGGAGGACACACTTGGAGAGATGCAGAGAGTTGGAAAAGAGGAAGGGGACTGGGGTGTGAGAAAAGTGGTGTGGGCATGGACTTCCCCATCTTTACCCCCAAGTTTATTGCTAGATCTCTGACCTGATCATTCTCATGGAAGAAGTGTCTCAGAATTTTAGGGTGGTCACCCTTCCTATTCCACTGTTTCAAAGCCAGATAGAACTAACCCCTCATAGATTTCAGGCCCTGCTGGCTACAGGCAATGTGCCAGACCCAGAACATCCCTCCTGGCTGGACTTCCTGTACTGCTAACAACCTTTCTCTATAGCTGTGTCTACCAGCACTGGGCTCTCCTGGCAATTGGGAGACAAGGTAAAGGTTCAGAAGTTTCAGATTCTTCCCAGAATTGCTTCACATATGAAAGTCACCAGAAATGCATTTGTGTGATGAGCAATGTGGTCTCAGGAGTGGGAGGGGCAGTGGGGGGAGAGGCAATGGGTAGTCTCCAATAACAGCCAACGCACTGCTTCTAATCTTAGGCCAGGCAGCCCTTTTTGGAGATAAAGAGAGGAGGTTGTCACTGCCTCGGAACTAGTGCTGAGCTTCTAGACAGTCATCACTGAGGGGAAAATGCATTCGAATTGTACACAGGCAATATACGAGGCTCTCCCAGTGACATAATTGGATGTGGGATGCTTGGATTTGATCATATTAAATGTGTAGTTATGTAAGCAGATGTGTCCGTTGTTAACATGGATGTTCCAGTACTGCTAGAATCCTGGCAGGTGGCCTAGGCTCCGAAGAGAGGTTTCAAACACTCTTGTCACTTCCTTTACTAATGGGAGCTACACACTGTGGGGCCACTCCTCTGCTGCCGCTACTCTCAGTCCTCTTCCTCTTTTTTCCTCTTTCCTTTTGTTAACTTTAATGTTAGCACCAGGGAATTCTGCTTGGTAACTATTATCTGACAACATATCCTTATCATGATACAACCAAGGGGAGAGCCATGCTGTATACTCTTCATTAACTGCAGAAATCCCTGGCCTGGCTTTTATGAAGATAAGAATTCAGGCTCATTGACAAGAGCTGAGATCAATTTGAATTTAAGTTCATTTTTTGAAGACTTCTACTATCTACTTTATTGCACTGGATTCTTTAAAGCGAAAACTTAGGATTTAAAGTCATATTTTGGTTTCTCTTTTATCATCCAGCTGCTTCAGGATAATAGAAAGACATAAAAGACATAAAACACAGGATAATTTACTTAGGCTTTTTATAGCAGGAGAATTAAGCACAGTTTATTGTAGGCACATTTAAAGTTGAGAGGTGCACGTGGTGACAGAAGACCCAGTTCAGTGAGCATCTTGGTAAGTGGCACTCTGCAAAACCACTTTTGTTCTCAGGAGCTTCGTGTGTGTGTGTGTGTGTGTGTGTGTGTGTGTGTGTGTGTTGCCGACAAGTCAGTGACACTGTCTTGGAGTGGGTGGAACTACCCTGAGGATTTTAACAATTATGTAGGTCCCTGATTTACCTTCTGGGTTGTCCCCACTTTATGCTTTTCCAAATTATCTAGTCTGATTCTTGACATTATTATTGTAAACACACACAGGTGAGAGGCACAGTCCCTTGGTTCCTAATTCTTCTAACAAATCATGGTTGCCAAATTTCCACTGAGCTTCTGAAAACTCTTAAACCTGCACTTGGCCTGATGAGGCCAGCTCATTTCATGTGTCTTCAGTGCGAGAGCCAGTAAAGAATACACCTGTCTTTGCTAAAATGACAATGGCAACCCATCTTGATCCTCTTGAAGTTAATCTAGTTAAAGCACTGAAGTCCTGGATCCTAGCAATCTCCATGGTCCTGTGAAAATCAAGACAGATGTCACCCTATACATCCTGAAGGCCCGTGGTTAGAGAAGGATGGATGACCAATACTTTGTAACCTACAGGAGCTTCATGGTCATAATATCCATTTGAGCTGAATGGAATTTTAAAAATAATTCTACATTTCCTACCCACTTAAGGGTTACTTGAATAGGTTTTATGAAATTCTCTAAGTGCTCTTTCTGACACTGAAATGGTTTTGATGCCAGCAGCACAATTGCTCTTCCCCACTAAGACCACTGGGTGGCAGTGTGGTTCTACAGATCCACAAGGTGCGGCTGGGCTGGGTTACAGGAGTTTGGATGTTTATGTCCCCCAGGCAATTTCAGCAAAGTGAGGTGCTGGCTTGGACCACGTGCAGAATGTGGGTGTAATTGCCTCTCTTCGGAGCTCATGCGTTGTGCTTCCACTTTGCCCACAACTTAGACAACTGCCACCCATGGCCTAGTGTCTGAATTCGCAGAAGGGTTTGCACAGGGTGGGTACATGTCTGTCTCCCCTAGTAGTAGGTAGTGGTCGGCTAGCTGTTCTTTCCCACCTCCTCTTCTCTTTGTGCAGTCATTTTTGCCCTCTGGTACTATCCACTTTCCAATGATCTAACTGCCTTCTTCTTTTAGTCTTATCAGTCAGGACAACTTACGTATTAGAACCAGCAATTCCAAATTGGCAGGGGACCCCATCAGGTGATCTTGAACTGAATAATGCCTAGATTCAGATTCTGGCTGTATGATAAAACATAAAACTAGACAAATTCATACTAAAGATAGTATTTAAAGAGGGAGAGAGAGAAGGATGGAGAGAATAAATATGGAAGGGAGGGAAGGAGGGGAAAAAACACTCCTTTGCTCTATCTGATCACAGTCTTAAGTCTCTCCGATGCCTGGGGAGTATGATTTGGCTCCTCAGGGCTCCACGTGGGCATGCTTATACAAAGATGGCTCTTCCTCTACAACCTGGCTATTCCCTGGTTGCCTGGAGTCCTGTGCCTTCATCAAGTCACCTCTTAACCACTAAAACCCAGTCCCAAGAGTCTAGGGGAGTCTCCCTGTGAAGCCAGCAGCTCCCCACCTTTTGGTATGGTCTTTAACAGACACTCTTTGTTGTTGATGTTTGAAGTAGGGTCTTTCCATGAAGTCCAGCATTCTATAGTCTCACAATGAGCTACTCACACAGTGTGAAATAAATGAAATGGAGGGAAGCAAGTAACCCCAAGGACTTTGGTATTCCCAGAACAACCTACGTGAGCCATTGGCATTGGGTGGAGTTCTGGGGGAGAAGCTGGTACTCCAGCATTGCCAACAATGGGAATCGTGGTGTGCACAATGAAGACCTTTCATTATGCTTCCTTCTGTCTTGAGACTGCTTGACGACCGTGTTGAGATGCGGATTTCCAGCGCTTGCCGAGGCTGGGGGCATCAGCTCTCAGTCTGATGGGAGGAAGCTGGCACTGTGCCTGCAGCTCCTGCCACCACCTGTTCTTTAGCCCTGTGACCAGTGCTCAATTGTGACATTGACTTTTCAGAATGGACTTTGATGATGAAGACGGTGAAGGTCCCAGTAAGTTTTCAAGGTGAGTTTATTTTATGTTTCCTAGTGAATCCAGTTGCAGCTCTCTTACCGTATTGGAGCAGAGGGGTTTATCATGTGTTGGCATGGCTTGTACTTGACACCCTGGCTAGTATCTCATGTTGTGTCAGTATTTGGCCTAGTGGCAGGTAACTGTTAGCAACCCTGCCAATAATAAGAGTTTAGTAACAAGCAAGGTATGGTGACACATGCCTGTAATCCCAGCACCTGGGAGGCAGAGACCCGGGATTTGCCATGTTTGAGGCCAGCTTGGGCTTTATAGGGAGACTTTGCCTCACAAGAAAAAAACAAACTCCAAACAATTTTTTTAAAAACAGAACAAGTTCTTAATTCTGTTTGCTTTTTAGGTTAAACAGCAACTTTAATGGAGCCCCTTTTAAACAAACAAATTTAGAAGAAGGTTATCAAATTGAGTACTTTTTTCTCCCCAAATAAGGGAAAATATGAGAACCAGTGGTGCGCCTGTAAAACTTAGTTTTGAGGCCCCCAGTGGGCACATGACAGCATCTTTAGTGGATCCGTGGCTGCTCTGCATGCAGTTGACTTCACATAAGAGCTGCTGGACACAGGGACAAGGTGGGCCCGGCCCCAGGCTCCCGCTTCCTTTGGGTTTGTTTGAAGGTGTGGCAGGGAGATGGGCAGCAGTGAGAGGGAGGTGAACACAGCTCTCATTCTCGGTTCTCACTATCCTCAGCACAGTTCCCGTCCGTCCGTCCAGTTTACTTATGGAAGGACCCACCTTGGGGTTCTACATTGCCCAAGTCTTCCCGCCCCTCAGCTGCTCGTGAAGACTGATGGCAGAGGCAGAGACGTGGTTCTCCTCCTGCATTTTTGCCCCACAGTTCACACCCAGAGCCTTAGGGTTTTGTTGTTGTTGTTTAATGTACCAGTGTTTAACTCGAGTGCCTTGCTTGCCATGCCCGCTTACCTGGCTGGCTTGCTATTCTATCACTTGAGCCAAGCCTTTATAGATTGGCTTTTTTTTTTTAAGATGTGGTCTCTCAGACTTTTCTGCCCACACTGGCTTCAAACTGCAATCCTCCAGATCTCAGCCTGCTGAATAGCTACATTTCTCTTTTCCTTTCTCTTCTCTTCTCTTTTTCCCCTCTCTCTTCTTCCTCCCTCTTCCTTCTCTTTCTTTTTTTCTAGTTCTAACAGTCAACTCTAACCCTTGTTCTAAGCAAGCATCTTATCACTTGAGCTGTGCCCTCAGCCTATCCTATGAAAGTTAAGGTTTGGCTATGGTTTTCTTGTCCACAACCATAGAGACTGTGGCACTTTCTTCCACAATTCCAAGAGGGCCATGTACCTCATTGCTTTCTGGGAATTCCAAGAGTCCCAACTCCATAGTAAATGTCTCATCGTCCCATAAACTTTCACCTCTGAGAACATGTCATTCCATTTTCTGATTCAGCTTTGGGTGAAACAGTAGAGAAGAGATGGAAAACATTTCTATCACTAATGAGCTTGAAGTTCTAGTGAAAACTACACAACACAGTGTGCACTGTTTTTCCCCATGCAGACAGGATCCCAACTAAGTGTCCCCCTTTTCTTAGGCTGCATCTTCTAGCACTGAATGCTTGGTTCCTGAAAAGGCACTAGCCTTGAAAATGAGGCCACCTATTTTCCTCCTCTGGCTTGATCTTGCCATACACAGCCCTCCTTTATAAGAAAACAATGACATTGATTCCTGTGTCAAAATTCCCCTTGAGATAACATTCTATTGCCTGCTAACCTCAGGAAGTGATGACCCTGAGGCCTAGGGCATAAAGAGGAAGAGAGACAAGGAGTGACATTTGCTTGACATTGAAGATCAGTGTCAGAGATGAAAGAAGAGAGCAGGGTTTCAAAGAGTTCATTGTCAAGGGTCCTGCGTGGTGAGAATCAGAGACCTACACTGCCACTGTGCATGAACCTGGCGGTGAGTCAGACGTCAGGCCGTCAGGCCTCAGCCTTGATGCCCCAAATCCTTTCCTCTGCACATTAAAAATAATACAGAAAGGCAGGTTGTGCCTAACGTAGGCTGTTACTGATAGGGTAGGACTGCCCTGCACATGGTAACACAGTGGACCAATATGGGGGTGTTAGGCTCTTGTTGAAGAGATGACTGAGCCTGTGCTGCCGCTGGTTGTGGCTAAAGTCCAGGGGAGAGTGAGAGACAAGTCAGCTTTAGATTGTTTCCAGCCTGCCATGGACTTCTCTGGAGGCGTGTCCAAAAGTCAGTGCTCTGTCCATCATCACATCTGTGTTTCAGTGTTTGCTTTGAGAACTGGTCCTCGTCACACAGGGGCCCAAACATGGTTCCTGTCTTACCACTGTGGGGGCCATCAGTGGGCCTCCAATGGAGCAGAGTAATAGAGGAGAAGCTGATTTCACACATGCACGTGCACTCACACATGTGTGCCAGAACCCTACCACTTCACACGTGCACATGCGTTCACACGTGTACTCCAGAACCCTACCATCCCACACTTGCAGACAGAGGCCAGAAGATGAAGGAAAAGGAAGGAAAGCTCCAAGCCCAGCAAGAAGGTTCCATGATGGCTAAGAGTGAAGCTGGTGAGTGGGTTGCATGTGGAGGTTATTACTGGTGAAATACTACTGTGCTTGAGAGAGAAGTTCAGTGTAGCCCTGGCTGGAGTTAAAGGAAGAGAAGTAACCCTGTGGACCCCATCTGCAGGGATGGTGATACACGAAGTGGCCTGCATTGTTGCATTTCCCTCTCTCACTGTTGGGTACAGGGGTGGGGACCTGGAGATTTCTTATCATCTTAGCTTGAGCACGGGGCAAGTGTAGCGGAAAGACAAGGCCCTGGTGGGTAGGGTATCACCAGGAGGCTATTGAAGGGATCGAGCTAGAAATGCAGCTGCAGAGGAAATTGGGGAAGCTGGGAGCAGGCTAGAGCCAGAAAGCCACAAGTGCTGATAATTGTGAGAGAAAGGACAAGGAGGCTATGTGGGTATGTGGTCAAGAAGCAGTTGTCAGTGTGAGTCTGAGGGAGAGGCCTGGTAGAAAAGGAAGTGGTGGTCAGTGGTGGAGATGGCAGGACTGGAGGAGGGTGGCTGAGGTCTGGGAGAGGAGGGAAGAGAGGAAGACTGGGTCACGATGGCTCAGCTGGAGCTGTGCTCGAGTGCTTGGTTTCAGTGTGGGCAGCCAGTGGTGACGATGAAAAGGAACCTGGAGGAAAGGAGAGACAGAGGGCATGAGCTTCAGAGGAGGCAATTTTGACCAAGTGACTACATGAAATGGAGAGGCAGAGTGGCCTTCCTTCCCTACCTGGCCTGCACCGGCCAGTGCCGGCTCCACTGGCCTGATGTTACCACACCACAGGGTCCTCGCGGTGGGTGGAGGTGAGCTGTTTCTCCACACCACCTGTCCCTGCAAGTAGTAACACCTCTCGTTCCCAGGTCCTCCTGGGCGGTGCCCATCCTGCCAGCACATCCCACAAGCCCAGACTCAAGGAGAGGCCAGTGCCCTCCGCTGCCTTCAGGCTTTTACGGCTCACTGAGTCCATATGTTGTCTAGGGAGTCCCAGGACCTTCGGCCAACCATATGGGAACAGCTGACATCCAGAGCCAGCACGGGCCGACACCGTCACACACCACACTCTCCGTAGGACTCCTGCTTCTCTGTAACATTTCACTGAAATTAAAGAGTGGGATCTCCTTTTCGGTCTCAGCCTCTGCTTCCCCCTCCTTTTGAATTTCTCCCGTGAGTCAGCTACAAGGGTGCAGGCCCCTCTCAGCCCGGCTTAGTGCAGCTTTCTCTTTATGGTCTGGCACTACCTGATTCTCACTTAATCTGTGCCTTTGGAGGTATTTGATCATATTCTGCTGCGTGTTTCCACCCAGCAAGGCTCATGTTCTACTTTTCTAACGAAGTTCCTTGTGCTTGAGGACAAGGGTTGGGTGTTCCTTGTTTTCCCCAATCCCTGTCTCTTCTGGGCGCTGGGCTGCCTTTCCCTTCCATCGGGTCTAGCTCTTTACCTCTCTCAGTGCTTCTACTTTGATCTTCCTGATCCCAAAGTGTTGCTTCTTTACCCACTGCCTTTCCCACCCGTCCTCCAGCCTCTGCCACCCTCCCCCTTCCCCCCTTCTTTCTCTTCCTCTTAGCATTTAACCTGTGCATCTGGGGCACTTGATCACATCCTGCTTTTGGTTTTCTTTGTGTGAAGTGTATGTTTTACCTTTCCAACCGAAGCCCCTGCACTGAGGAACAGGGCCTGGTGTTTGTTTGCTTTGTTGTCACTGTTTTCTCTGCCTCTCCTTGCCCCTCGGGGATCCTGCAGGGCTCAGGACTCTGCATGGACGGCATGCAGTGCGAGATTCAGGCCAGCTCACCTCAGGGCCCCTTACTGGGTTCACAGAAGACCTCAGCACCTGTGAGTGGCATGCTGTCAGGTCTCACTGGCACGCTTGCACTCTAGACAAAGGAGGAGGGTATAGTTGGTTAACGCATGCAGTGCTTGAGGTTGCTCCTTTATTTTTTTCTGTACTATCATTCTCATTCTCTGAGTACTAGTGACACGCTAGACCAATCTTTTCTCCTAAGTAACAGTCTTATCTGCTGAACAGGGTTGGATATTACTGTCTTCCAATAATCTCAGACGGAAGCATTCTACCAGCCCTTCTGTTAGTTTTTCATCTTAATACATTACAGAGATTGGGTCCAGCAATTCCTAAGGGTGCTTTTTTAAAATTGGTTATTATTGTTTAATAAACCAAGGCACACCTGTTCTGTTACTATGGATTAGAAAATGTACTGGGACTAGAATAAAAGCCTTCTTACTACATTATGTAAAGTGAATTTGTGCCATTACTAGTGTAATTAAATGCCTAAAAGGAAATAGTAAGGCTATATGGATGCTCCTGTTTTATGATGTGATATATCTTGCAAAACCTATTTTAAGTTAAAATGAAAATACATTTAACATATCTGACCTACCAGACATGATAGGTAACCTAGCCTGCTTTTCACAGGCTTAGATACTTACATTGGTTCGTAGCAAAATTACCTAGCATAACACATATTTATGAAGTCCTAGTATCTGATGTGACTCACTGAATACTGTTCTGGAAATTAAAAATAGAATGGTTGTATGGGTTCTCACCCATCAATGTATTATTAATATACATTCAAGCACAGTTTTATTTTTATTGTGTGTGTACCACTTCTACAGCATTATAGCTTAAAAAGGTCTTAAGCCCAGGACTGTTTTGTAGTGCTTCTGACCCTGAGGTATGTAACCACCTGTGGAGCCAGTCAGTCATTGCACCTCTGCGTGCATGTGTACTTGTGCCCACCCCTGTATAGATTCATGTGCACCCACTGAACATACTGTATTCACTTGGCAAAGGGGGGTGTATAAAATTTTCATACCTATTCAAACATTCATAGGTCCATGGAGGTACTTACAAGACTATACTGTAGAAAGGCTAGGGCTGAAGGCAGTGGAGATCCATGTCCATGGACAGAGGCAAGAGCCTGCAGAGGCCTCAAGTGCCCCCTGCCCAGCACGTACCCACTGAGCTGTGCAAAGTTAATGCCTGGCTCACTTGGTGTTATCCCCATTAGAGGGTAACCTTGGTCTGATGCTTCTCTCTTCTTCCCTCCTGACTGTGTGCCTTATGGGAAGAGAGAATCACAGTGAGATTGAGCGGCGCAGAAGGAACAAGATGACCCAGTACATCACGGAGCTCTCAGACATGGTCCCCACCTGCAGCGCGCTGGCCCGGAAACCGGACAAGCTCACCATCCTCCGCATGGCTGTCTCACACATGAAGTCCATGAGAGGCACAGGGAACAAGTCCACAGATGGGGCGTACAAGCCTTCCTTCCTCACCGAGCAGGTACCCGCACTCCCTCTGATGACATCCGTGCTGGGAAGCTGCCGCTCACCACACTGAAATGAAGTAGGTGGGGTGAGGGACAAGGAAGGGATGAAGCCAAGAAACTCTACCTCCCCTCCTCAGAAGGAAGCTGTCTTCAGAGCGTCACACCTTTCCATCACTTGAGGTTATAATTCCCATACACCTTGATGCGGCGTCTCTAAAAGCTGTCCTCACACTCATTGGTGTGCTCAGTCAGCAGTGACCCAGGAAGAAGTGGCAGAAACCACACACACAGGCGCGCGTGCACGCACACGCAGGCACACACGCGCGCACACATGTGCGTACACATACACACATGCACGTGCACGCACACACACATGCATGTGTGCACTCGCACATGCACACACATACACACGCACACACGTGCGCATGCATGCACACATACACACGTGCACACACGCACACACGTGCACGCACGCACACACGTGCACACACGTACACACACACGTGCGCACACACATGCACATGCACGCACGCACACATGCACATGCACACACACATACGTGCACACACGCACACACACGCGTGCGCACGCACACACATGCACACGCGCACACACGTGCGCATGCACGCACACACACGCACACACATACACATGCACACACACACGTGCACACGCGCACACACATGCGTGCACACACGCACATGCACGCGCATGCACGCGCATGCGTGCCCCTTTATTCAGTCTGGCCTTCCATGTGTTGGTCATAGGAACATATCAGCAATGCGCCAACCCCAGTTAGCCCTTGTGTATGATGAATGTGAATCTTGTTGATTTTCTGATTTCAAGACCTTTTCTTTTTTTTGGGGGGGGGGTCCAGTCGTGGGGCCTGAACTCTGGGCCTGGGCGCTGTCCCTCAGCTCTTCAGCTCAAGGCTAGCACTCTACCACTTGAGCCACAGCACCACTTCCGGATTTTTTTCTTTTTGCTTATGTGGTACTGAGGAATCTAACCCAGGGCCTCATGCATGCAAGACAAGCGCTCTACCACGGAGCCACCTTCCCAGCCCTGATTTCAAGACCTTTTCTAGGATGAGTGAGATGATAGATCTGAAACACTTGGCATGTGGTGGAAAAGGAAAAGGTGAAATCATGCTCATCAGAGATGTAGTTAGGACGTGCAAAGTGTGTATAGTACAGAATGTTTGGCGTAGAGTGTTTAAGAAGACAGAATGTGAGGCAAAAATGATGTGGAGCAGAAGTGGCCCAGTTTCATCCAGGGTACTGCTCAAGATGGACACAGAGGAGCCATACTGTTCATTAAAGGGAGGGGCAGAGCCGCAGGGAGGAGCAAAGAAGGCCCAGTGCCGAATCATTTATTCTCCTGGAGCTGAGACGCCACACGAGTCATGGGAGCCGGTTAGAACAGCCAGTATTTATTGCTGTCTGTTTGGTGGCAAATGCTTTACCTACTTGGTCTCTTTTAAATCCTTCCCAGCGGTCATGTGACCCTTACATGTGACCCTTAGAGGCCTGGAAGATATGACCGTGGTCACATAAGCCCTGGAAAGACACAGAGCATGGTCTTTTAGAGCATGGACTACTACCTCCAAAAACAATGTCATGATAGACTCTAGCTCCAGCGGACTTGCTGAGGAAGGCCACCATGTAGACCGTGAAAGATTAACAACTGATAGGCAACCAGACAGAAATTTATTAAGCACTGCTGTTGCAAGGATCAGCAAGAAGTTTTTTTTTTTTTCCTCTATATTTCTTTAATCCTTAGAAAAAATCCTACAGGGCCAATACTTGAATCTGCTTCTAAGTGACTACAGTTGAGGGACAAAACTAGAGTGGAGGGAGAAAGAAGCAGCCTCACTGCCGTGGTGTTACTGAGTGATCCTGCCTTGCTTTCATGTGTGAGGATCGGAACGTGTGTTACTGTGGAGCTAGTGCGGTGTGTCTTCAATACACGCGCTTATTTACTCTCACAAAGCCTCACAAAACGACCAGGGGCAGAGGACGTTAACCTCCATGCCTAACTTTGCTCTGCAAGGAGACCCCAACAGTCCCCTGCTCTCAGCCCTGTTTTAACTGGAGGAAGAAGACAGAAATCCTCCCAGAAGATGAACCGTGGAAGGAGGGTCTGTGAAGGGGGCAGGGCTCTGCCAACAAATGAGAACATGGTGCATAATGAAGCCATCTGACCTCCTCCGTGACAGAGACTGCTCTACTTTCCCAGACATACTGCTCTATTGCTTTACACACAGGTGTATTGGGAGGATTTTCCTGACACTGAGAATAAAAGTGCTGACCCAGTCCTTAGATCTGAGTAAGCACCTCAAGACACAGAACAGCACTAGTGCAAAATAAGGGAAATGAGCACAGCAAACCTTTCTTTTGAAAATGCTTTTACTCTGCTTTTACCCCAGTTTCCCAGGCTGAAGATATTTGAACTCATACCCAGTAAAATGCTTAGAAACATTGACAACCTCCTCAGCCCTGCTTCTAGCACATTCACGCCTTCCAGGCTTTGAGTCCTAGACCAACATCCAGACAGATCAGTGAACAGACAACAGGGACTTTCCTCTGCTCAGCAGGCCCTTACTGTGTTCTGTAGTAAGACTTCAGTGCTAATCACAGTCTTTTTTCCACAGGAGCTAAAGCACCTCATCCTTGAAGCAGCGGATGGATTTCTGTTTGTAGTGGCTGCTGAGACAGGCCGAGTGATTTATGTGTCAGATTCTGTCACCCCTGTTCTGAACCAACCCCAGTCAGAGTGGTTTGGAAGCACCCTCTATGAACAAGTGCATCCTGATGATGTGGAGAAGCTGAGAGAGCAGCTGTGCACCTCGGAAAACTCAATGACAGGTTTGTGGAGTTCCTTCTAGGAAAACTCAGTGACAGGTTTGTGGAGTTCCTTCTAGGAAAACTCAGTGACAGGTTTGTGGAGTTCCTTCTAGGAAAACTCAGTGACAGGTTTGTGGAGTTCCTTCTAGGAAAACTCAGTGACAGACAGGTTTGTGGAGTTCCTTCTAGGAAAACTCAGTGACAGGTTTGTGGAGTTCCTTCTAGGAAAACTCAGTGACAGGTTTGTGGAGTTCCTTCTAGGAAAACTCAGTGACAGACAGGTTTGTGGAGTTCCTTCTAGGAAAACTCAGTGACAGGTTTGTGGAGTTCCTTCTAGGAAAACTCAGTGACAGACAGGTTTGTGGAGTTCCTTCTAGGAAAACTCAGTGACAGGTTTGTGGAGTTCCTTCTAGGAAAACTCAGTGACAGGTTTGTGGAGTTCCTTCTAGGAAAACTCAGTGACAGACAGGTTTGTGGAGTTCCTTCTAGGAAAACTCAGTGACAGGTTTGTGGAGTTCCTTCTTTGGCTACAGTGTCTATAGCTCATATAGTTGACTGTAGTTTGAATATAGTTCCTGCTTTGACTATGGGGGGAAACCCTCCCAATGAACATGCCATGAAACTAGAGCCTGCTAAAGCTTAGGAAAGGGGAGGGGAGGTACATAGATATAGAGACAGACAGACAGACAGACAGACAGAGATACACACACATATATGTGGGTGAGGGTGATGCTTAATTGGAGGTAAAAATCTTACAAACCTTCCTTCCCAGGCTGGCTTCAGCCCACATTCCTCAGATCTCAGCATCCTGAATTGCTAGGATTACAGACAGGAGTCACTGGCACCCAGCCAGGGATACATTGTATTTGCTTATGCGATGGCTTAGTTCATGCTATAACAGTTAAAAATCCATCTTGAAATGTGTATCACTTTTTTTCGTGTTTTATCTGTAATTAGGGACATGACCACCAGGAGTCATCACTGACTCCCTACATAAATTCGTGGGCTCTGCAATGACGTTTCTGTTGCAAGGGTGTGCTTCTTGGTAATCCTGATCACATACACTTATTATTCAGCCATTAGTTACCCAAAATGCCATTTCTTATTGTAGCATTCTACACTAACATAACATACATCTTAAACATCTCGGGCTGGGACGGTGGCTCAGTGGTAGAGCACTTGCCTTGCATGCCTGTGGCCCTAGGTTCGATTCCTCAGCACCACATAAACAAAAAGAAAAAAGCCGGAAGTGGTGCTGTGGCTCAAGTGGTAAGGTGCTAGCCTTGAGCTGAAGAGCTGAGGGACAGCGCCCAGGCCCAGAGTTCAGGCCCCACGACCGGACCCAAAAAACAAAACAAAACAAAAAAACAAAAAACATCTCTTTGCCATATAAAATTACATAATAAAAACTTTAGGGCTAACAAAGGAAATGGGTTAGGAGTACAACATGTAATAATGCATCAAGTAGCAGATAAAAGCAAACGATCACATTAAAATTAGTAGCATGATTTTACATGTTCAATGGTTAAAAATTCATAAATAATATTACACATGATAAACATGATTAAACACCATGGAATGGACCTGAGAACATGTTGCCATTTATGTGATACCATAAGCTGATGGAGGACAGTCCTGTGGACTGTAGAAGGACCTGCAGTGCCCACAGTGCCAGCCCAGGGACAGCAGGGGTCAAGCCAGTGGGCGGGCTGCTCCAAAAGACAGACGGCATTCATCTCAGGGGAAAATGGCTGGCGGTGGTCCACACTCAGTCCCAGCCTCCCGAGGCAGCTGGGTCTTCTTCTTAACACTGCGAAAGAGGGAAGAACGGCTGTGAAGTTGAGTGGGCAGCGGAGCCCTTTAGGGGAGAGTTCTAGGCAGATAATTGGCCCCCGGGGGTCCTGTGAACCATGGGATCTACCCTGAGGCATCAGGTCTGGAAAAAGATGATCTTTTCCCAATGTCATCATGAAGGTAACTTCACAGAAACCATACTTTCCAATCTATAGCTTATTTTCTTTGGAATACCAACACTTAGTCTTTTGATTAATACCAGAGTCTGAAGTCCTAGGCACAGTCAGCAATCCATTTTTACCATATTAGGTAACCTAGAAGCAAAACAAATCTGAATTTTTATCTCAACTATTAACACTGTTGCTGAGTTTCTGTTGTTTGGAATAAAAGTGCAACACTTTAATGGTAAGGAAAGCAAGTTTATTTGAGTTTGGCCCTTTGCAAATTGCTCAAGTGGGTAGTAAACTCTCACATTTCAGGGAAAACATTTAGAGTTGGATGCCAGAGGTGCCCAATAAATGCACGTGAGAGTAGAATCAGAATCCGGGCTGTTGTTTTCTTTCCCACTACAAACCACAGCCTCCTGAGAGCTGTTGACCCAGATGTCTCTTTGGAGCCAGTTCAGTTCTTTCTCTTGCTGAATATTTACACAACCTTCCTTGTTTTGCCCCAGAACGTTTGTGTTTTTCTCTCATATTTTGTGTTGAAAGATATTCCATGAATCCGGACTGATTTCTAGCCCAGGCCTCCAGGTGCTTTATCACAGCACATCACAGCCGATACAGGAGCAGAGCAGGGTTTTCATGTACTCTGCTGTGCCCAGCAGGGCTGGCTGGCTTAAACACTTGAGAGTTCCCACCTGAGGAGCTTCGCTCTGGGTCTGGAGGGTGAGCCTGGGTGGATGGGATGACACAGGCAGCACGGGAAGCGTAGGATCCCCGACTTTACCGTCAGGGGGGCCTGGTGACAGTTGCAGTCCATGGCCCTCTACCCTGGGTCATCACACACCTCTGGGCCTCGTAAGGGGCTGAAGGCAGCCCAGAGAGAGATGGTGAAGTGTGAGGAGGGTGGTGCTTATCTCCAGGGCATGTGGTGACAGTGGAGCTGACCTGCCTTTGTTCTGACTTACCTTCACATCTGATGCTTGAGTTCTGCCTACTTCTCCCTACCCTGGCCAGACCTGCCTCTTCGCTCTGTTTGCGTGGATAGCAGCGGCACCATCTAGAGCCTGGAACAAACACAAACACATTTTCTGTGGAGAGCAGTAGAAGAAACAAGCCACAGCTGAGGCTGGATTGAGGTGGCGGCCAGGGGGGGACTGAGGCACAGAGGCAGTGGGAGGGAGCTGGTCCACGGTCCCAGGGTTGGCGCAGGGGAGCAGCACATGTCTGGGAGCGCATGGATTTTCATCTTCTTTTTTCTTTGCCCCTTTTATTGTGCCAGTCCTGGGGCTTGAACGTAGGGCCTGGGTGATGTCCCTGAGCCTCTTTGTGCTCAAGGCTAGCACTTGAGTCACAGCTCCAGTTCCCGTGTTTTTTTTGTTTGTTTGTTTCTGTTACTTTTTATTTTTATTTTTTTTTGTAGGTCGTGGGGCTTGAACTCTGGGCCTGGGCGCTGTCCCTCAGCTCTTCAGCTCAAGGCGAGCGCTCTACAACTTGAGCTACAGCGCCACTTCCTCTGTTACTTTTTATAGTTAATAGGAGATAAGCATCTCACAGGACTTTCATGCTTGGACTGGCTTTGAGCCTCTATCCTCAGATCTTAGCTTCTTGAATAGTTATGATTACAGGTGTGAGCCACTGGTGAAATTTTGCCTCAGCTCATGGCACATTCTAGAATGTAAACATATCTGGGTTTTGCAGGGTATTGAGGAGAACTGTCTCACAGTATCTCTGAATGATTTCATTTCTTTTTTTTTTTTTTTTGTCGGTCGTGGGGCTTGAACTTTGGCCCTGGGCTCTGTCCCTCAGCTCTTCAGCTCACGGAGAGTGCTCTACCACTTGAGCCACAGCGCCACTTCCAGTTTTCTAGTGGTTTTATTGCAGATAGGAGTCTCACGGTCTTTCCTGCCCGGGCTGGCTTTGAACCTCGATCCTCAGATCTCAGCCTCCTGAGTAGTTAGAATTACAGGAGTGAGCCACCAGCGCCCGGTGAACGACTTCATTTCTATCCATTCTGAGCCTTCCTCTGTGAAAGCAGTCATGGAGACGTACGCAGTCAGGCCGAGAAAGGTGTGTGGGGCGTCCCTGGCAGCCAGAGATGCAGATGAAGCCGAGTGTGGTGCTCCTTTTACTTGCAGACAGCCAACTGGGCTCTGCCCTTGGCATTAGAGTGAGCTGCTTTCCTGGGAGCAAGGTCTGTGTGGTCAGTTGGGAAGGCTCTGCTCTGTGGAGCCGAATGGCGGTGGCTCAGAAGCTGTCTGAGAAGGTTAAGGGTGTTACGCCAGGCTCAGTCCCCTCTGACCCCCGAAGCGCTGAATGTGTTTGTCCTTAATAATGAGAACTGATGAGGTCAATACACACATTTTCCATCCTATTAAAGTGTATGTGAATTGGGCTGGAAAATGCTGACTCTTGCTTTAAATTCCCATAGAGTTGTGTGTGTGTGTGTGTGTGTGTGTGTGTGTGTGTGTGTGTGTGTGTGTGTGTGTGTGTGTGTGTGTGTCGGGTGTGGGGCTTGCACTCCAGACCAGGGTGCTGTCTCTCAGCCTCTTTGTGCTCAAGGCTAACACTTACCAATTAAACTCCAGTGCCACTACTGGTTTTTGAGTCCTTAATTGGAGATAGGGGTCTCACAGGGACTTTTCTGCCTGAGCCAGCTTTGAGCCACGTTCCTCAGATCTCAGCCTCCTGAGTAGTTAAGATTTACAGGATGAACCACCAGTACCTAGATAAATTCCCAGAATTTTAACCACCTAAAAAGAACCATTTGTAGCTGGGTGCCAGTGGTTCATGCCTGTAATTCTAGCTACTCAGGAGGCTGAGATCTGAGGATCATGGTTTGAAGCCAACCTGGACAGGAAAGACTCTTATTTCCAATAAGCTAATCAAAAAAGCTTGAAGTGGCACTGTGGCTCACTTGGTGGATCTCTAGCTTTGAGCACAAAGAGGCTCAGAGACAGCACCTAGGCCCAGAGTTCAAGCCCCAGGACTGAAAAAAAAAAAAAAAAAGAAAACCATCTGTGCATTTATTTTAAAAGCTAAGACTTTGCAAACATCAGTCTTCTA